ATAGATATCCAGAACTAAAGTGAAAATGTTTAATTTCATAAAAAATCTTTAAGGGACATTTGGCTATCCGATTATTAATCAAATAAAAATAATTGTCAAATAATTGACAGATGTATCGATTGCAAAATAATCGTAAGTTGCAGCCCTAGGATCTACAGAGAGGTGGCGCTATGAAGATGAATGGGATTGCACACTTTCAATCTGGGACCAGGTTTTCATAAACTCTCACGTTATACTGGATTTGCGCGGATGTCGAAACATATTTGCAGAAGCTCCTCTGAACAGGCCTTTACATGCTTTAGCCACAATCTTTAACTTCAGTGTCACTTTTTTTCTTACCGCAAACAATAAACATTGAAGAACTCATAAAATATGTTTCCCATAACAGGATGGAGATGTTATAGGATGATAGCCTGCTTTGGCTTTAGCTCCTCTCACACTAGCTGCTAGCTTCCGACACCGTGACCAAGTAACCTGGAACTGGGCGACATTTACTTGTTTTTATGGACGCTGTCCCTTTCTATAAAACAGAAGAGAAAAAATTAAAATGAAGACATGAAAAGAGTTAGCTATTGCAGGTAAGATATAAAGTGCTTATAATATCTCAACAAAACCTCTTTTTAAAAAAAACCCATTAGCTTGGGAATAGTGTATCTTTTGGATTTGCTTTTATTACCTTGTCACTTTATAGATATATTATGTAGTTTGTGCCATTAAAAATTCATATTTTAAGGTTGAAAGATCCTTAAATTCTTCACATTTTGTTTGATTTAAGTGTTTGATTTTGTTAATGTGATAAACGTTGACGGGCTGCGGATGAAAACAGTAAAAATGCCTTTTATGAAAGTGCCAAATAGTTTTACTCCGTTAGGGTTTGTAGAAACGAACCGACCGCAGCGTGTTGCTCCCCCCCCCCCATGATGTAGTAAAGGAGATAAAGGAAAAGCAGGAGCCGGTGTGCGGCTCTCTGTGCATAGCATATAAACTGAAGGCATCACTGTTTCATCGGGTTATATTTTGGGTCTCCATCCGTTTATGAACTGCATGAGCTTCTTCACCTGCAGCTTGCTCAGCTGAAAGTCTTCAGACAGAATCTCCTCGGTGAGCTGCAGGAGGAGATTCCCGTCGATCTTCTCCGACACGAAAAGAGAAACTATGTCGTCCGGCAGGCCGATGAACTTCAGACATTTGGATACCTCTTCGATGGAAATGCCCGACAAGTCTGGAGGCGGCTGCCACTGCGTGGTGGCAGAGAGAGAGGGGAAGGTTAGAGCTACAGAGTTGGACCCCATCTCATTGGTGCCCAGCTCAGTTGGAGTGACGGCGCCCTGCGGGGCGTCACAGACAGCATCTGGATCTGGGCACTTCTTGATCATGCTGGGTTTAGGTGTTCTTGGTGGTAAGATGGGGCAGGATAAGCTCTGTTTAGTGTTTGATTCTTTTATCGGCTTGTTTCTGTACATCTCAGAGTTGTAACTGGAAGATTTGGTGCACGTCTGGGTCAGGGCTTCTTTCTGCGAGCTGAACTCTCCGCTGCGGTGTGCGTGCTCTCGCCCGTCGAAGTCGTCCAGGCTGAAGGTGCAGGTTTTCGCTGAACTCGGGGTCCTCTTCCTGGGGTAGCTGAAGTAGCTGCGGCAGCTGGCGGGGACGAACTCGTCCGTGCAACGCGAGTCTCCTCCGGTGAAGTTGTTGGGCCAGGACAAACGGGACGACACGCGGTCTGATGGCAGGCTTCCACAGGGAGAAGCCGCTCTTTTCTCTGCGCTGGCGGATTTACCCCAGCTGCAGGGGTAGCAGACGGCGCTTTGCTCCTGCAGGTCGCCTCCCTCTAGCTCAACTGCTCCGCTGATAAGCAGAAATACAAAATTCATTAATTATTCTTTCCATAACCCTGAAAAAAAAAAACAGAATGTTTGAAACCCTTACATGTTGTGGAGCCCAGAAGAATAATAGGAAAGCGTTGGACTTGGAGACCGAGTGTCCTGCTGGCGGGGCTTGGATGGGATGGGCAAAGATGGCAGCTGCTTCATACTTCTAGGAGGGATGGGGGGAGCATTCAGAAGCCGACATTCCTCCCTCACCTAAAGGCATCAAATCCATTTAAATCAGTCTGAAATATAAACATTTTTAGTCAACAAACATTTAAAGATCTAGGATGAGGTATGAGGGGAGCTGAAATGTGACATGAACAAACTGCTGCTCATCGATCGGCTGTGGGAGGAAGACAAACGAGGTCTTAAACGAGGACGGGAGGGAAAAACATTAATATTAAGGAGCACCATGCAAAGAGGAGCATCAACCTGCTCTGCAGATTCAGGAGGATCTCTTCCTTCCTTCCTCTCCTGAACTTCTTCCAAAGATCTGATCAAATCAAACATTTCTTATATGAAATCTATTACAATGATTTGCCATCAGCTCTATATTGCTGGATCCAAATCAAGAAAAACATTGCAAACTCCCTGCAGCGTGAATATATCAGTTATTAGCCTATGAAACCGAATTCATGGTACTTAAAGGTCTGTGGTTTTTGCTCTTTAGTCTTCATCCTCATTTCTGCAGAAGCTAAAACCTCCTAAAAACCAAAATTAGACCTTCTTAAGGCAAAACATGGAACAGATCAAAGCTTCCTCTCCTCTCTCAAATCAAAAGCTGGGTTAAGCATGATGCACCGAAAGCAGCGAATGCAGCATATAAACTCTGTGCTGTTTCCCCCCCCCCCGTACCTTATTCTATTCTGATAAATACATATTCCAGACATATTCTATATTATCTATATTAATAAAGACATTTGTAATTTCCATTTCATTTTTTTTATTCAAGTATTTAACATGAAGGATTTGTTTGATTTTTCTTTACCGTTTCTAAGCTAAGGTTTGGCTAAGGTTATTTTTGGCACCGCTCCATTAATCTATAGCTTGAGAAAATGTTTTATAACTTCCTCCTGCTCCAAATATCTCCAAATTTACCTTTGACCTCTGTGCTTCTTTGATTGGATTTATACAGAGGTTAAATCAAAGACCTGATGCAACCATGAACATATTTTAAAAACCAGGAATCCTTACCGTCCTGGTTATATACTGCCTTTTATTGATCAATAACTCAGAATCCTTAACTTTTCTCTTATCGAAGTGTCTCAACCTGATCTGTGGCCCCTTATATCAGGATTGCAAAGCAAACTGCACTGACGGCTGCTGAAGGTGTTGAAGAGCTGAGAGATCAGGATGCAGGAATTAGTGACGTTTAGGTTGTGGAAAAAAATAAAAGATTTCCTCTCTGTAACACAGCATGACTTGTTCACTAAAGGAAACCTAATTATAGCACCGCTTATTAGTAACCGACTGCTTTATATAGAGGTTTCAGCATAGATTGAGCAGGTTTTCATTATGAACACTGGAAAAACGATCTAGAAATAAGTAAAAAAATTCTTAAATTAAATGTATTTACTCTTAATTTGAGTAGGTAAATGAAATAGTTTGCCAATTAAATCAGTATTTTTACTAAATATTAAGTATTTTTACTTTAAAATAAGATATTTAGATAAATTGCACATGAAATAAGACAATACGATTGTGTTTTCTTATTTTAAATGTAAATTGTCTTGTTCCATTGGCAAAATGTCTCTTTTACCTTCTCAATTCAAGAACAAATCCACTTATTTTAAGAAAAATTGACTTATCTAGAGAGTTGCTATTCAATCATTAACTCTTCATTAATCAAACAAGCAGAAAGGAATCAAAGGTTTATCTCTGATGTTCAGCTACCACTGAAATGTTGATCAGAGAAAATATTCAGGTTTCTTTTCAGTGATTTGCTTGATGATTACAGAGCATGACTGCATAACAGCACCGTGGGTTACGCTGCATTTTGTTGGCTCCATATTAAAAGATAAAAACTCTACCATCAGCTTCTAAGATAAAACATTTCATAAAAAAAAATGTGATTTATCGCTGACCATTGTCACCGAACAATAAAAACCACCTTGTTTGTAACGTGAGTGTGGATGGGAGGATGGATGGAGCTAATTAAAGGGCAAAAACTGGATTAAAACCTACTAAAGCAGGCCAGTGACTATGAATATACTGCCAGAGCCATGATGGAAAGGTTTATATCAGAGCATATCTCTGATTACGGTCAAAGTCCAGAAGGAAATCCAAGTCAGACTCTTTAAAAACCAGATGAGCAAAGCTACTGCAGACGTTCTATTAAAACCAGTTGATTGCAATCTTTAAAAAGCTCAGAAGACATCTTCAATATTTTTTATCTTTTCTTGAATAACATCAATCAAGTAACCATTAAACAATTAAAACTTATCAAGCAACTGCTTTCAAATATGAACCATTCAAGTGACTTATATTTACAGTTATTGATTAATAGTTAAAGATCAAAGTTTAGAGGAATTACAATGGGTAGAGTTAGATAAGAATGATGGATCAATATCGGCTGATAACCCATCTCCCATAATCTGATCTCTTTCTAAACGAGGACTCGGTGACCGATGTGCTTCTAAATAATTAGGATCTTAGATTATACTCACAGCTTCAGACTTGGGTGGGACAGGTGGAGGAGTAAGAGGAACATCTAAGCTTGTTATGGCACCAAGAGGACATGTGACTGGATACGATGGCGGCGCTGTTGTTGCGCAGTCGCTGTTTGTGGCTCTTATGGCCTCACCAGGAGAGGGTTTTGCATTCTGCCCTCTCAGGTGATCCAACCACAGCTCCTCATAGGGAACGTCCAGCTTGTTGAGATTTGCATGTTGGCTCGTGCAGTCCAACAGCTCGGGGAACGAGTGTTCGTTTTCCCCGGATTCGGACTGGCTGCTGTCCGACGGCAGCAGGGCCCAATCGCCGCACAGCGTCATGCACCCCTGCAGGTTGACTTCGCTGTTCCCGTGCAGGTTGCTGCCGTAGACACACACGGAAAGCCGGTGGAAAGACTGCGTGAGTTCGTCCCGGGCGTAAGTCAAAGAGCTGGGGACCCGTTTGTGGTTGGGACAGCCGTTGGGGCCGCCGCTCCCACCGTTCCCTCCGCAGCTGCCGTTTCCGCTGCTTTTCTTTGGGCTTTTGCCGTCGTCGTTCCAGTCGGCCCGCACGTCGCGGACGGCCCGAGAGTAGTCGTCTATGTCGAACTGCTCCTGGCAGAAGGAAAACCAGCGGTGCACCATGGTCTCCAACCACAGCTCTCCCAGCAGCAGCTCCTCTGGGACGATGAACCTGGGCATGGCCATGTGGAAGGGGAAATGGAAGGGGATGATCTTGTTGCTGCGCAGGATGCAGCACACAACCACCGTTTTGGTTTGGATGTTAACCAGCTTGTAGCGATGGCCCTCCCGGATGAGGTGCAGGTCGTACTGGTTGCGGGGCGGGGTGCTGGGCACCACCACGTTCACGGGGAGTCTGGTTTTCTCCACGATGTTCCGGATGGTGTGCTCGCCGTCCTGCATCTGGAGCTCCAGCGGGCTGCAGGTGCTGAACCAGCCTTTGCACTGGAAGGGCAGGCTGATGCTCTCATTGGTGCGATGGTTCATGCAGATCAAGCAGGGCATCTTCCCTCGCCCGATCTTACTGATAGAATTCAGCTTGCCGATCTTCTTGAAAATCGTATTGAGCCTGGACTTTTCTTTAGAGCTCTTTGCATAAAGGATCTCAGCCTGGCCCATTAACGTCAGTTCATCCCCAGTGCTTAGCGTTATGTTATAAACTTCTGTGTCTTCGTTGCATTCCCCGGATGCCATCTGCGAACAAAGTAAAGCAGGAGACCAATAAACCGTAAGAATCTAAATGTTTATATACACTCTATAAAAACATCACCTTTTCTACCACCCAATATATCATATCAGCTTGTTCCTGTTTTAGGTTGGTTAGGATGGCTAAAGTTATTTCCATTTACTGACAGGCAGAATAAAGAAAACCTTAATCTCAAAAGCATTTGCTTTGTATCTTGTACAATTATAGTTTAAATTGCATAAGTCAGACAGAGTCAAGTTTACAGACCACCTTCCACCATAAACCATTGATTACCATCACTGCCCAAGCTTCACAATCCTCACGAATGTCTTATTGCATCATTGTCTCCTCATCATGTCTGCGTTTTTTTTTTGTTTTGTTTTTTTTAAGTCAACTGCTCTGCCCTGCAGTAAAAACTCCAGACCATGATGCTGCCACCCCCCTAAATCAAAGCTAGAAAAAAGGGTTTTCAGGTTTGCAGTCGTCCTAATTTCACCTTGACCACATAACTTCAAATATTAAGGCCTTTCTTCCAGATTTAATTTGCAAACTGGAATCAGGATTTAAGTTATTTCTAAAGTATCGTATTCTTTCCAATGGGAGGTTCTGACTCCTGTACTGAAAGCAAACAATACACAAATGTTAAATATAAGTCCATTATTATTATTATAAAAAAAAACACAAAAAAAACTATTATCTCAATTATCTTAAGTGGAGAATATGCAATTATCTTATTTAGAGGACAGAAATCTTAATTCCTTTGGCAGAAAAAAATTTTTTATATGCACAGTTTAAGGACAAATACATTTATTTTAAATGTTCACTTTTTTGGATCAGTTTTTGCACTGAACTAAGAGGCATCGATCTAACAGTCTAAAAATCTTAAATCTAACCATAAGGTCTATTTGAGCTAGTTTTGTGATTAATATCGTTTTTTGTTTTGAGAATATATCATTAAGGCCCCATTTTTAAATTTAATATTTTAAAAAAATAATATGATTTATGAGAATTTTCTGCCCCCCCTGATAAATTTAGCCTAGAACAGCCGCAGCTTCTTCCTCTCAGGGTGGCTTTTCAGCATAGATTTCACTGTGACTAAGGCTACGTTCACACTGCAGCCTGAAGTGACCCAAATCCGATTTGTTTTGCCCATATGCAACCTGGATCTGATCTTATCATGGCCCTCTGAACAACACAGATCCGATTTTTTCAAACGCGACCCAGGCCACTTGGCTATGTGGTCCTGAATCCGATACGAATCTGATCTTTTCAAATGCAACCTGTGTCCGAAAGGCCAGGTCGCATCTATCCGACCTGGACGTCATTAATCCCTGACAAAGGTTGCTATTCTGCATCTTGATACGCAGAAGCGGCAAGAAAAATAACAACCATAGCAGATGATGATGATGCGGAGAGCAGTATTTATGTTTAACCATATTGAAAAGATTGTGTTTTTATGGTTGGAAAAGACCGCTAGATGCGCTCCGGCACAGACAGCCATGTTTACTTCCGGAAAAAAAAGAGCATGCTGGCCTGTGACGTCATTGCGTCCTCTACTGCGCATGCGGGACACTTGCATTGTACAATTGCAGTTCACACAGGAGCTCGCATACAAGTCGTATATATTTGGAAGTATGAACGGCAACGCAAAAAAATCGGATTTCGCAAAAAAATCAGAATCGAGCATTTAGGCCTGCAGTGTGAACATAGCCTTATTCTCCCTCCATCTTGATACATGATGCACATTTCTTTTTGTAACGTCTCCCTGGCTCAGTGCCTCTGCTTGAACATAAGTGAATTGATAAATATGGCACCATGGAGCCTCTGGGATGTGCATCCAAAGACAAACGTTCATTTACAGATACCTTGGCTTACATTTTTTCTTTCTTTCCATCGTATCATATAAGAGAAGCAGTGTGTTTAAAGAGGTTATGTTTAAAATGTTGTTCCTCCACATCATTTAAATATTTTGAATTAACAAATTAGATGTTTGCACGGCTGTGAAAAACATCATCCCAGAGCATTGAAGGGCACAGTCATCTTAGTTTTTGTACACATCTGAATATAAAGTAAAAAAAGCTGTCCCCTCAAAAAGCAAAACAGCTTTAACATAAATCTAACAATAAAATGATGATTTTTAACATTTTGTCAGGAGGAATCAGTCGGAGTTACTTGCTGCCTGAAGTTCACAGAATTGCTCAAGAGAGTGTTTTTAATTAAAAAAAATGTAACAGGCGACACTTTTCTATTGTTTAGGTGTCAGCCTTTACAGTGTGCAGGTGCAAACCAGTGCAGCCGACATTCCTTAAAGGTAACTAGTTAATGGTATGAGCTTATTTTGAGTATCTAGCATCACAAAAAGCATCCGGCAGAAACTGGCTGATTTACTTGAAGCTATTAAAGCTATTTATTGTTGGAGCCAAGGCAGCCATAAATAAGCTCTAAAAGGAATGCTGCTCTTTGTGTAGCTTCATAGCTCCTGCTAAACATGGGCAGGTCATCAACATCCAGGAAGATTAAGCCTTTGAAAAGGTTTGTTTTAAAAGGGAAAATATTTCCTGTTGTTTTAATCTTATGGTTGAATTCCAAGAGCAGACGGTGTGCTGCGGTCGTGGTTTTCTCCCTTTCTACAGAACATTGTAATGAAGGGCTGAAACAATTAAATGTGGTAATCGATTATTGAAATTATCATCACCTCATTTAGTAATCAATTAATCATTTCATGGAGTATAGAGACTCTAAAACATGCCTTAACTGACATAGCAACCTGGTTAGTACAGTAATTATACCAAAACTGTAAAAAAAAAAAAAAAAAGTTAAAGTTAAAAAGATTTAGTTTAATTAATTTCGTAAATAGTCTTCTGTAAGGAACCTTTGGGTATCTGGTTATTAATCGGAAAAATATAATCAACAGGTTAATCACTTTGCAAAATAATCATTAGTTGTAGCCCTGTAGTTAAACTGGCTGAAATAAGGCTAAGTACAACAAGGATAATTAGGATTATTTCTTCCTGACAGTTTTACTTTGTTTTTAATCATTACTTTTATCAATTGATGCTATATTGTTCAGGGCAGCAGCTCAAGCTTTTAGCAGTCAGTTACTCTATTGTTTATTTTTCTGAATGATCCAAAAAGGAAATAGCTAAAATGAACATTCCACAATTAAACACACTTTTTTACGATTAAGATCCAGTCGGATCAACAATCAAACGTTGGTCAATTATTGATTGTTCACTAAGTTACAAATCGTGGATTAATAATTTGGTAGCAAAAGGTGCGTATGATGATTTTTTTCCCAGAATTTGAACCAGGGGAAACTAAAACTACAAAATAAGATCATATTTATTGCACAATGTTGTAATTTTCTCTGGTATGTTCCCAAATAAAGAGGCATTCCCACCAGATGACGCTGCTACTTAAATGATCCACTCATGGTGATTAAACTCATGGTGTGTTTTAGTCTGTATACAAAAGTTAAAGATTTTATTTGATCACCAAATTAGTTGAAGATCATGTTTGCAAGCTTCAGTGACTGGTAATGTCTATAAATAATGAGATATTTGTTGTGACCATATATTCCAGCTTTTAAGTACAGACTGAATGTACCTTAACATTGAAAGAGATTTCCTCCATGACGTAGACTCTTTCAGGGAATGCTTTGGCCACCTCCTCCACGCTGCTGAAGTACTGCACAGGCTCCTTGACATCTCTGTCCTGCTCGAGTAGCTTAAACTGACCTTAAATTGATATAAGAGAGAAAAAAAAAAACACAAATTAGTGCAACAAAACAGGTCAAGCATGCTATAAGACATCCACAACAGTGTTTGAGTAGCAACACCTTGTTACTTTTCCATGGTGATAGAGAAGTACAAAAAAAGTACAAACTGCAGCGGTGTGGTGACAGAGAGATACATGAAAAATGCCGATCATTTCATACTTTTGCAGAATTGTTCATTTTAATTTCAACTTTTTAGTGGAAACTACCACAGCATCTAATCGTTTATGTAAAGCTTAAGCTGCGCCTTTAGTTTCTGGTGTAGATATGTGCTAATCATTAGTGTTGCATCGATACCAATACCAGTATCAGGCCCTGATCTAGCACTAAAATTGAGTACCAACAAATAGGGCACCGATACCATTTTGGGAACCAAAAGTTTATTCAACTATTGTCACCCATTCCAGGTAGGCAATAAAAAGTTCTACTGGATTCACTTTGTATTAGTCTTTTTTAGGGATGCACGATATTGGGATTTTGGCCGATATCCGATATGCCGATATTTTAAAACTCATGTAGCCGATAACTAGGGATGGGAATCGAAAACCGGTTCCTG